AGACATTCCTTCTAAAGTGAAGGATAAGTTATTGCATCTTGCTGCTCCCACAACTAAAAAGGAGGCACAACGCCTAGTGGGCCTCTTTGGATTTTGGAGGCAACATATTCCTCAACTGGGTGTGCTACTCCAGCCTATTTATCAAGTGACTCGAAAAGCTGCTAGTTTTGAGTTGGGACCAGAACAAGAGAAGGGTCTGCAACAGGGTCAGGCTGCTGTGCAAGCCGCTCTGCCACTTGGACCATATGATCCAGCTGATCCGATGGTGCTTGAAGTGTCAGTGGCAGATAGAGTTGCTGTTTGGAGTCTTTGGAAGGCCCCTATTGGTGAATCACAGCACAGAGCCTTAGGATTTTGGAGCAAAGCTCTGCCATCCTCTGCAGATAACTACTCTCCTTTTGAGAAACAATTTCTGGCTTGTTACTGGGCCTTAGTAGAGACTGAACACTTAACCATGGGACACCAAGTCACCATGAGGCCTGAGCTGCCCATCATGAACTGGGTGTTGTCTGACCCACAGAACCATAAAGTTGGAAGTGCACAGCAGCACTCCATCATTAAATGGAAGTGGTATATTCGAGATCGGGCCCGAGCAGGACCCAAAGGCACAAGTAAGTTGCATGAGGAAGTGGCCCAAATGCCCATGGTCTCCACTCCTGTCACATTACCTTCTGTCTCCCAGTCTGCACCTGTAGCCTCATGGGGAGTTCCTTATGATCAATTGACTGAGGAAGAGAAAACTCGTGCCTGGTTTACAGATGGTTCTGCACGATACGCAGCCGCCACTCGAAAGTGGATTGCAGCAGCACTACAGCCCCTTTCCGGGACCTTCCTGAAGGACAGTGGTGAAGGGAAATCCTCTCAATGGGCAGAACTTCGAGCAGTGTACCTGGTTGTTCATTTTGCTTGGAAGGAGAAATGGCCAGATGTGCGATCATATACTGATTCATGAGCTGTGGCCAATGGTTTGGCTGGATGGTCAGGGACTTGGAAGGAACATGCTTGGAAAATTGGAGATAAGGAATTATGGGGAAGAGGTATGTGGATAGACCTGTATGAAGGGGCTAAAGAAGTGAAGATATTTGTGTCTCATGTGAATGTTCACCAAAGGGTGACCTCAGCAGAGGATGATTTTAACAATCAAGTGGACAGGATGACACGTTTTGTGGAAACCACTCATCCTCTTTCCCCAACTACTCCCGCCATTGCTCAGTGGGCTCATGAACAAAGTGGCCATGGTGTCAGGGATGGAGGTTATGCATGGGCCCAGCAGCATGGACTTCCACTCACCAAGGCTGACATGGCCACAGCCTCTGCTGAGTGCCTAA